TACTGGCTGACTTTGTGGCCAGTTTGGACCAGGTGATCAAATATCGAACTGTTGGTGCTTTTTACTACACCTTTATTTAGCCACATTGGTAGATGTTCCCGAGCGAGCACGAAGAATCAATTACCTAGAGCAACGACCAATAGAACTAGTTCCACAAGTGCAGTTGAATGGCTAGATACAATTGGAAGTGGTTAGTTTAGGTACTTCATCTTTCAATCCACGAATCATCACTGGTCGTATAGAAAATGAGACTTGTGGTTTGTCAGCATTAAAAGTTATTTGAACTGATTTTCTTAGCTTCTTCGTAATTATTTCGCTAGCTATACAGCCCTTGAAATGTGGTCGTATGTATAAAGGCTTCTTGTTTCCGGATAGTGAGTAGCTCTTTTCAAATTTCTTAGGTATATGTTTTCTGATGAATATGTCTGGATAGCTATTTTTCATCAAGGCATCATATACGATGCTTGGTCCTTCTTTAATTATCTCTTCTGAGCATACAGTTCTAACCTGTGGCTGAGGGTTCTAACTGATTTCCTTTTATACATGAGAGGAACGGAGCTGTGAAAATGTGCATGTTGTCCTGTCCATGTGCCCTTTCTATGCAAATTTCTCTTTATACTACCATCCAGTTTTCTTGTAAGGAGGGCATTCAGGAATGCGCCTATGTTTCGAGATTCCTCTGAGCAGATGAAGTCCAGCCACTACTACTGCCTTCAGTGAAGACTATAAATTCATGAATTTGTATTATTATCTTTCCTAATGCGGCTGCTTGATATTCAGTGTAGTGTATTGTAATGTTGATGCTATCGACCTGTAATCCATTGATATTTCTACTATTATTGTTGATTCGATGTTATTTAAACAATATTAATGTTGTTAATGTTACTAATTCATTCATTCACTGTGATGTATATATGACTGTAGAACCCGATGATGAATTTATCGAGAAGAATATTCTCTGTTCAGTAACGATTCTTTTGAAAAAGACTTTCAATGGAAAACCGCCGATTAAGTTGTTGGAAAACATTTGAATTTTCGTTGTTGAACAGCCCACTGAGAACGTTGACGGCGGTAGTGAGTAATGAGGATAAGTAATAAAAGTGTAATGCAAATAATTTTTTTCGAATTAAAAATTTTAGTTGTTCACATTAAAAGTTCAACATTTCACTTATTTCTCTTTGTTTCGGTCAGGAGCAGTATACTTTGAGAAAGTGCTACCTACTCAGGTAACGTACTTCTAAGTCACGCCTAATTTACCATGAGTGAGTAGTCCCGGAGAAACATGGAGGTTGAGTGGGAGTCTTACAACCTAACTTCACAAGGGCAGTACCATGCCTTCTGTCTTCTGCTGTACTTTTCAACTGCATCCATGTTAGTACATGCTGTCTCAACTGCTCTTCACATGATCTCCTCCATGTCACACTTGCACTGACGTCCCACTCGCTGTGTGCTTCCCTTTCGGCCTGATTTTACTCAAGAAATCGCCCGACGCGCGAGCGATGTCACCCAGCGGCCTCCTCGATCAGCGAGTGTCAAATCCATCTCCACATTCGCCTGCATATTTCTTGGTTGGCGATCCATTGGGTCTTGTATTTTGTTTGTTTGTTTGTTTGTTCACAACCATAGTTTCTTGTTGTTAGTGATTCCTTCCGGTCCGGCCCGGCTCGGCCATCTGATTGATCTTCACTATAGATCCAGCGAAGACAGTTGTTGGTTGATGAAGGTCTGGTCTGCATGCAACAGGCTGTTGGAAATATTCTTTGTGACCCCCCCTCTCACTCGCTAGCCAAGTTTCTGCCTTATCCGTATAGAAGAACTGACTGACTTGACGTGTTTGTATTGAAAATCCGACCGAGTTTTGTTGTTGTTGATGGTGGCTGAGTGACAGCGGAAGATTTCCAGATTGGTCGTTTCAGGTTGATTGATGAATGTGTTGGCGCTGGGTTTTGCTGCTACTGTTGTTGTTGTTGGTTGGTTGGTTAATTATTTTCATAACCTCCGTCTTGTCTATGTTCAGCTGGGAGTCCTGTCTTCGCCGGCTGCTTCTTCGACCAGTTAGTATAGTCAGTTTTTATTAATGGACAAATCTATATTGCTCAACAACACCTATTTTTTAATGTACAGAGTGTTTTCTTAGGGTTTTCATTTGATCGCATACACATATATATGTATACGCACTCCGAACTGCCGCATAAGTAGGTGAGTACACTAAAGATCTGAAATAATTGAAAACTGAAATTTTTTTTGAAAAACTCACATTTAATTAAAACAATTGTTGTTTTGCTTCAATGACTTCATTTTCAAATGAGTTTTATTATTTTGAATTTCGTTATGCTGCGGAAAATACTAACTAGAATTTCCCCTGGGGATTGATTTGTTTATACAGAACACATAATATATATATATCGGCATATAAATTTGTTTTAAATGTGCTGTTTGTGTTTGATACTAATTAAAAAATATTAGAAAAAATTAAGCCTTTCTTAATTTTATCTGTTTATGCTTTGTTGGATACATAGACATATAGGCTTTGAGTTTCTAAATGATATTTTATTTTTATCTTGCCCTCATTATATGTATATATATCTTTTAGCGTGTGGAATGGTTAGGACAGTTGGTAAGACCCAGATCTAGCTAATTGTCATGCTTATTAGTGAACTCTAGGGCTTATCATCAAAAGAACAAAGCGTGGAATGGCAATCAAACCTAACTCTACCTCAACTTTATAGAATTGGAGAAGGCCTTCTACAGCGTTGACCGCTAAGTAATTTGGAAACTAATTCAGCACTACAGCGTGCAGCGCCCAAATATTCATCAACCTTATTCAACAGCTGTACGACAACAGCACATGTCAAATGATCCACAACGGAAATCTCAGTGAGGCGTTTTGAGTAAACACAGGAGTCAGACAAGGGTGCTTATTGTCTATCACCAATGAATGATATTCCTAATTGTGGTGAGGACTGGATTATGCGTCAGACAGTGAGTGGGAAACGAGAAGACAGGGATATCCTGCACAGATAGACGTTAAGAACCTAGAAGACCTGCAATTTGTGTGTGGATGATTTATGTTTGATGTCACACAAAATCGATGATATATAAGCGAAAACCGACAAACTGGTCGAAGAAGCAGCCGGCAAAGACAGGACTCCATGTGAACCGAGACAAGACGGAGGTTATGAAAATAACCAGCCCACAACCATCAACAACAACACCGGCAGAAACATACAGCGCCAATCACTATCAATGGGAAGGATTTGAAAGAGGTTACTTCATTCACTCACTTATCTAGGGAAGGAGCATTGTCTCAATTACAGGCAGACGGAACGGACGAGGAAGTCAAATCGAGTTAGAATCGGGAAGGGGGCGAGAAATGCATTCATCGATCAACCTGAAACAACCAATCTGGAAATCTTCCGCTGTCACTCAACCACCATCAACAACAACAAAATTCGGTCAGATTTACAATACTAACAACGCCAAGTAAGTCGGTTCTTCTATACGGATAAGGCAGAAACTTGGCTAGCGAGTGAGAGGGGGGGTCACAAAGAATATTTCCAACAGCCTGTTGCATGCAGACCAGACCTTCATCAACCAACAACTGTCTTCGCTGGATCTATAGTGAAGATCAATCAGATGGCCGAGCCGGGCCGGACCGGAAGGAATCACTAACAACAAGAAACTATGGTTGGGAACAAACAAACAAACAAACAAAAAACAAGACCCAATGGATCGCCAACCAAGAAATATGCAGGCGAATGTGGAGATGGATTTTTCACTCGCTGATCGAGGAGGCCACTGGGTGACATGGAGGAGATGGTGTGATGAAGAGTTGAAACAGTTTGGACTAAGATTGATGGAGGTGAAAAGTACAGCAGAAGGAAGACAGAAGTGGCAAATGGAGACGTGCAGTTGAAGCCCTATGTTCCGCAAGGAACCCAAGGGAACAATAATAATAATAATTAGTGAACGTCATCACGACGAATTTACAGGGGCCCAAACACACACAATTGAATGAAATTTGAATGGTATTGACCTGCAAGCCTATTTATTCAAATAATGTCCAGTGTAATAGTTGACTATCTAAGGCATACCTCAATAGAGCGAACTGCTAAAATCAAGAAAGGAATGATAAAATTAAAGGCTGGATGACGATCACATTGTTCAATTGAAGGAAGTACTTATCTTTGTATGACCTTTAATGAGAATACAGAGATGCATTCGCATTACAGCCATCTTCTGCATGCACTGTCCCTGAGGAAGCCAGTTATTTTATTTATTTATGTAACATCATTTCAACTACTGACAAATAAACTGGGTGAGGATGTCAAAAGCAGTCAGAATAGGAAATCATTGCGGAAAGTTAATCCACTTGTCGTTAGGGTAAAGATTTAGATTTCCTACACTAGTGTGAAGTCACTAATTCCAAAAACAGTTCAAAGACTTGGCGCACACATCCTGAAAAGCATTTCCAACAGTCGGCTGGCAGACCTTCATGAGCCGCTGTCTTCGCTGCATAATGGAAATTAGGTGGTAGGCCAGAAAGGATCAGAAACACAGGACTCTAGTATCAAAACAACCAAAGACTTTTTGTCCGAGAAAGATGTGAAGAGAAATGGAGATGGAAGTGAAACGCAACATTAAGCCCCTAAAATGGTAACCGAATGGGAAACGACGAATTTAGCTTGGGTCTGAGGTTGACAGGGTGGAGACCATGTTAAGAAGAATTGAAACTGATGCACAGTCGTGGAGTCAGCTATGCATGATTGCATAAAACAAGGTAAAATACAGATGTACTAGTGTGCTACGACCAGAACCCAGGGAAATAATAGTATGATGCAACCGGACTAATTAGGTAACCTGCTTTGTAACGATACATAATACATAAATAACATTCAAAAATTGAAATACCTCATGAACATACAGATTACTTATAGCACCTTTATAGCATCCAATGTTGAGAATAAACACAATTATTAATCAATTGAATAATGACTTACTCATTCTTTCATTGGTTTGCAGTAATTGTTGAGTTCTTCGACGAATAATAAATACGGCAAGTAAAATGATGAGGATTAAGAGGGAGAAGAAGACGGAGAAACCAATGATCAATATCTCAGCTAATGAATATCTTCCTAAATATGAATTTGATACACCTGAATTTAATGGAAAGAAACCAGCCGATGCTGAAGCAGATATACTACTACCCTGTCGTGAAATTATACTGGAATCTTGTAATTGATTTGAAGATGGTTCAAACAATCCATAAGCGCTTGATTGAGAAGATTCATCGATAATATTCGATGAACTGCGAATCTGAAAGTAACAAGTAAGAGAGCAGTTTTGATCAAGCGATTTGAGAAAAGAAAGCAAGTGATCATACATTGAAGAGGAGTAATCACTTCATATATGAAAAAAAAGAACGAATAATACCCTTCGCTTGCTTCCTATTATCTGCAAAACATCTTATCTGTTCATAGTTTGAGTCATCTACCAAATACTGGTGTAAGTTATAAATACACCAAAGTTTACAGTTATTAAGTTTGACGAAAGACGCTTCAGATGTGTGAAATATTTTAATATGATTATGTTGTCTGAATTTAATGGCTTAATTAAAAAGCTTCCTTATTGGTTTGTTTATTAAATGTTTCACACAGTCAGTGAAACAGTATTATTTACTGGATGACACAATTTCGAACAAAAATTTATTGTTCATAATCATATCAGCAATTGTAATCACACGACTTTGAGACTTGCGTTTTATAGTTTTCTTTGTCTTCTCCTATTTGCCGTCGTAAGGGTAATAGAATTTTCCAGATATCCAACTGGACACGTGTTGAATCATTCCTATTACATGTATTTACAGTTGATTCGATAAACAAAGTTTCTGTTATTAATCTCTCCCTCCATTTACCCTGTGATATTAGATTTTAAAACTGTCATCCTATCCCATCCAGCCTGTTGTATGGTTGTGTGTAACTGCATGTAGTGCTATGGTCAGCTGAACTATTCTCTAGACTTCTTGCTATCTTATTTGGGTTAACCAATCTAGATTTAGCTAGGTTTTTATGTTCGGCTAGTCTGACTGCCCCTGTTCTACTACTTTGATATATGTATTTGACCTGACAATCACTGCAGACAGGGTATTAGATAAACTAAATTGTTTTGTTTTAAAGGTTCCACAGGATTGATCCTTTAACCGACAAAGCTTGCTTCTAATTGAATTTGTGGGTTTAAATGCCAGCCAGTTTTATTCTTGCCTTAATTATGCGTAAGATTTCCAAGGTTCCTTCCTTGTATGGAATTACTACCGATGATTTAGATTCCTTATTGTTGGTGTCGTCATTAATATTATTATTATTATTGTTATCATTATTATTATTATTATCGCTATCGCTACTATCATTATTTATTTTATTTTTGCATTTCCCTACATACTTTCTGACTAATTTATCCAGATAATTATTCAGTTTGAAGTCTTCTTTTTTGTGTATCACTTCCTGTCTCAGATTTTCTTTGGTACTACTTAGTTTTTGTGCTCTGTCACTTAAGCATTATTATCTTTCTGGACAACATCTTCAGCGTAGTGAACTTATCTGAATTCCTCATGAATGATATAATTATCTGTGTCGTGACGACCTTGATTCTTATCAGTGGTCACTCTGGATAAGCAAGCTCTGATCCTTTTACTGACTTGGGATTTCAAGTTTACGCTGAAGATGTTTTCAAGGAAGACAATAAAAGCGCGGCAATAATGTTAACCAGCTTAAAAAAGAACGCAAGCACTTCAAAATTATTCCCCTGAGCTACAAATCTTGCTTTGAATTTTAGGATATACCTGGTAAAAGCTCCAGAAACCGAATATTACCATTACTTTATAATTGTTTCACCGATCAGATTTACCTCTGTTCCCAAATAATCGTTTCAACAAACAGAGTTGATGCAAAATTTTCTCACCCGTATTTCTAAGACACATGTGTTTCTCAAGTATTAGTTTTGTGGGGAATTTGTTTGATTTCATGGAGTATTTCATCATGAGTCAGTTAGAGAACTACTGGAAAACCTGGGAATACTGGATAGCTGTTTCGTCAGCTTAGATTGCGACTCTTCAGCATGTGTTTCTTACAAATACATTCAGGTTACAAGGAGGATTTAATCATGAGCTGACATCAGTTAGAGAACCACTGGAAAACCTGGGCGTACTGGACAGCTGTTTCGTCCTAGTTTGGGACTCTTCATCAGTACGCACCCGCCGGGATTCGAACCCAGGACCTTCTGGTTACAAGGCGAACTCGTAGACCATTGAGCCACTGGGACCCGATCCAATGGTCCTTGAATTCTAACTTCTGCCAGTTCACGATATAGCGCGACCACTTCGCAATGTCTTCTCCGATGAGTTACTGCCTCATCTTCGACCTGCTGTACCCTACTGGTCACGGCTTCCCACTAGAACCCCAGGTTAACTGCCTGAATAGGGCCAGTCACTAGTGAGCATCAGATGAATTTTCAAGTATTGGTTTTTGTAGGGATTTTGTTTGATTGCATGGAGGATTTAATCATGAGCTGACATCAACCAATACTTGAACATTCAGGTTAACTTAAAATGAATACCTGTCCAAACTTTTCCTATTGTCTGGAATAAGTAAAGTCTGCTGATGTACAGCAGCATAAGTTCCGGAAACATAATACTTATTAGTGGGAACTTTAAATGAAGTCACGAATTAAAGTTCTTTTTTAAGTGTACCACACACACATCGCTTTTTATAGGGGGAAGTTATATTTCAAAGACTTAATTTTCGAGAAGCCTTGGAGAAACAACTTCATTACTGGGGTTGATCATCTAGGAAGAACTGCAGCTTTTCTCATAGAAACATGCATTCGCTGTATAAGCAGTTTAATCCTTGTCGAGCAACATTCACATCGTGAATACGATTGTGTGTAGTTTACTTCTGAGAGGAAATTAGGTTAGGTTGAGACAGCTATGCAAATAAGAAAGAACTGTATTTCTAAATATGATATTTTTTGTGAATAGCCTAGCTGAATTATAATGCAGGCCGATGGTGTTAGACAATCTGATAAGCCATTCAAGCTAGTGAACTGGTACGCGGACAAATTGATTGTCATATATTTCGATTTATTTTAATGTGGATTTCGTCATGAAATGAATTAGTTAAAGAGAATACTTAAGAACTAGAGGGCACTGAAAGGGTGCTTCGTCGTGCTTCGGAATTCCTCGACAGTTGGCATACACGATCTTCGAATTTCCGGTAAAAGAGGCAAGCCCGTTTACGTAGCAACCACTTAGGTGAGAATTCAGTTATCTGTAAATTCTTTGTCAATTCTTGGCATAATGCTACCGCTAATCAGTGCCATCGATGAGCAACCCCATCACCGTGGCATGGTTGACCCCACTGTCTACCACATCTCGCTACGACTTGAAGACATCGACCAACTAGACGCTAATGAAGTGGAGAATGGTATTTAGATTATCACTTTGGAACAGCTGTCGGTGATTTTCTAAATGATGCTTTTTTTGAGATAAAATTTACATAAAAATTAAAACATATCCCTGTAAAACCCGTGATTTTAATATATTTGGATAGCTACCGACATATCTTATATCGCCAAGTACAGTACACTTCCCATTGGTATTTCGCCTCAAGACGGACTTATTCAGTCACTGATGGATAACTGTGATGTCTTTATTCCGTCAAAATTCAGAATTCCCTAACACTAATGACATGCGAGCCTATGATTTTCTTTAGGAAAACATATGGAACTGACTACGCAAAAAGTGGCATTCATGACTCAGCAGATCACAGGGTATTATTTTAACGTTCAAAACGATAAATTGTGAAAACATTGTCACTCATTTGGATGCAGGTTCATCTAACTGAAAATTTCTAAGAGGCGCAGAATGTACTTCCAGGTATTCACTGCTAGCTGCTGTCAAATAATGATAATAATGATAATGATAATAGCTATATTCAAAAACACTACTTAAGTTACAGAATGAAATTCTCAGCATTTTACTACAGTAAATTAACAATAAAATAAAATTCTACATAGATTAAGGGTAATCTCAGCTAGTTTTGACAACAACATATTAGCATGTCGGTAGCAAAGCCAAAATTAAACAGAGTGTTTGAAGGTGCTAGAAAAGTAGGTTTTAGCATATTTACTGGCGTAAGCAGAAGAAAGAAACAAAGCAGCACATAACGGCTGCAGCGTCTAAAGTTCTCCTACCCTGTCTGTAGGCAAATTGTTTGGGGTGAAGCCATGGAAAAATCTAAAAGAGGAATACTTCCATTGTCATAAAAATGAAGTTGCTTTACTATCTGTCAACGTTATGAAATATATGTGAGGCAAGAAAATGTCAAGTACGATAGTTTGTATTTCTATCCAATCCCTATCTAAATATTTCCAGATTTTAAGCATCCAGACTCTAAGGTCGCAAACTTTCCGAGTATACTTCACTTTATAAAAGTGATATATGTATATATTATCCGGTAGACCCTACATCAATACAAGTCGAATAGTTATATTCAGTATAGATAATAATTGTTTGAAATTTGCTCATATACAAGCTAAAAGGTTTGAGATCTCTGATACTCAGTCCTACTGGAGCAATACCTCATCTTATCGTCAACTATTCTGGTCACGGTAACTTCAAAGGGGATGTTCACCAGAGAGATAGTTAAATTTGGGTGAACTCCATTTAAAATTCTTTTTAAATGGCAGATGGTAAATTTATGTGATTTGAAAAAATTAAAGATCCTTTGTCAATTGCATCTAAATCCGCTAACTGCCTACCTGGCCCTTTTAGAATTCTGGCCTAACACTTGCCCAGTTAACCAGCTGTTACTAGCGAATTTCAAGACGTTAAGCCAATATGAGCTGAAACTGTTGTCAACACGTTACCAACCCTCGGTATCTCTTTCTGTGATCAGTACTTTATAACGCAGATAGGGAAAATATATTTAAACAGTCAATTATATTTCAGATTCCCTGTTTCTCTAACCTTTGAAAATTTATGGTAACAGGGACAAAAATTAGTCCTGTATCTTCTCTGAGGAACTTGGATGCCAAAAACGATTTTTCCACGAAAAGGGATGACACTCAAATATTGGTAGTTTGTTCATCACTAATAGATTTCCGAATACACTTCATAATGTCTTATCGTTATACGCTGATTGGTTGGTTCTAGATAGATAACCAAGAAATATCATAATGGTGGCACACGGTTTCCGATTACCAGAAGTTAGGAATCGTTAGATCCGTAAACTGCAGTCGTGACGCAGAACTGTCAAAAAGAC